CGGGCGGGGAAAGGCCCGGGGAGGACGCCGGAGGGGAGGCGTGCGGTTCGCGGGGCGTGGGGAGCCCTGCTTCGCTGGCGGGCGCCGCAGGACCGCACAGGAACGACGCCGACGTGCGCCCCGGCACTGAGGTGGGCTCGGGGCAGCGCTGGAGGCGGGGCCAGGATTAGGGGGACCTCGCGGGGGCCGGCCCGCTGCCGGGCAGCAGGCGCGGGAGAACGGGGACCACGGCCTCGCTCCGGCCGGCCCAGGATGAGCCTGATGGACTCGCCGGAACTCCGAGGTGGGGAGCTTGGCGGTGACGCTGTCTTGGGCCCCGGGCGTGGGTGGAGCATTCACACACCGGGCGGTGGGGGCCTCGGGTGGCCGCCCGAACCCCCAAGGAACCACCCAGGCAGCAGCAGGTGGGACGGGTCAGTGGGCCGGGCACAGGCGCGAGAGCCCCTGCCAGCTGGGGGACTGGAGGAGGGGGCGGAAAGGGGGGCTGGTGGGGCAGCAGGAGGACCCCAGGGCGGCGGGGCCTCTGGAGGCGATGCCCTGTTGGCGCAGGACGCGTGAGGGCCAAGGAGCTGGGCTGGGGCCCAGGCGGAGCCCACGTCTGCAGGCCGCGGCCGCATGCACGGCCAGGGGGTCCTGCGGAAGGGCGACAGCAGAGACCTTGGGGACTGGGCACCCCCCGCAGTGACGCCCCTCGCGGTGTGTGCATGCGGGGGCCAGGCCACGGCGAAGGCTGCGAGCCTGATGGCCCAGGGCGAGGTCCCTGGCCAGCTGTCGCAGGCTGCTGAGTGTCCCACACTCGTCAGGGGAGGCCTGGACAGTGGAAGCAGAAGGGTGGATTGTGGGGTGAAGGGGTCAGGCTCTTCCGCAAGTAGCCTCTGGCCATTACTTGCACCTGGATGCAGTTTGTGCGGGGCTGATGGGGGACACCTGGAGCCAGGTAGCTGCGAGGGGGTGGGAGCGGGGGCGGGGCCCGAGGGCGGGGAGGGGGCCTCACTCAGCAGGTGGGAGAGCAGCCGGACCCCTGGGCCGGGCCCCCCTCCGGCTGTCTCAGCCCCTGCGAGGGTCTGCCCCGCCGGGACGGGCGCACCGGAGGGTGTCGGCTCCCTGACCTGCAGCCCCAAACCCGCCCACCCCGCCTCACCCCACATCCTATCCCGGTGCGAGGCCCTGCGCCTCACCTGAGGCCCACCAGAGGGCCCTGCTCCGGTGGCCCTGCCCACTGAGGACAGGCTGGTCCCACTTGGGCCTCTGGACCCCCACCCACAGGGCAACCCCAACAGCCGCGGCCCTCAGGGCCCTGGGTGGCCAGGGGGTGGGCGCCACCGCCCTGGGGGTCCTGACCCCCAACTCGGGCTGTGGGGAGCTCCCGCCCCCCAGAGGCCCCTCCCCAGGAAGCGCAGGCCAGCAGCTGCAGGCATGGGGAGGCCGGGGTGGGCCCAGGACGCACCAGCCTCCCGCTGGCCACGTTGCTCCCCAGTGCTGCCCGCCCCGCGCCCCGGGGCCCACACAAGGCTGGGCACATCCACGCTGGCAGAGACTTTATTCCGCAGCCCCGCGCCACACGGCTCCCACCGGAGCCCAGCGGGGAGACGTTGGGGCCTCCGGGCCTCCCTGCTTCCTGGGGCCTGCTGGGCTTGCTCCCGCTCGGGCCGGCGGCCGC